TAATGTATAGAGTTAAGTTAATAATAACAAAATGCATCGATAGTTGATTAGGTTCTTTAATTCTCTTGGCTTCATTTTTATTACAATTTAGAATATGATCAATAGCATCAATAGCTTTAATAGCATCGCTATCGCATATTGGACATGTTAGGCGCAAAATTCTTCTTTTAATGTATGGCAAAGGACCTTTAAAAATAAAAATAATTATTAATATATTATCAATATTTTTACAATCAAACAAACAACAAAAAATTAATATATTTTTTATAATACTAGAAATATTAAAATTAATTAATTAATATATAATTTTTAAAATTTAATTTATTTTATTTATAAATATATCGGGTATGTAATTAATATCTTGAAATTTTTTTAAAATAATATAATTTCTTATAAAAATCATTTTAAAAATTTTTTATTTTAATTTAAATTGTAAATTATTTTTTATAATATTAAAACTTATATTAAAATTAATTTAAATATTTAGTTTAATGACATTTCGGTCAAAATTATGTAATAATAATAATAATAAATAGTTTAATTATTTTATAATATATATAAATATAAATTTTTATTAAATAAATGTATTTTTTGTTTATTTGCTATTGTTTTGTTTAAGTTATATTAAGACATTTATGTTAATTAATATTTTATTTGGATTATATAAATAGTTATTAATTTATACAATTATTAATATGATTGTAATCATAAATTATTATACAAAATAATAGTATACTATAAATCAGTCACAGGATTTTTCACACTTATATTTTATTTTATTTGCTCTAATCTTATTTATAACATATATAAAATCACACAAAAAATTTGTGATCGCCATTTCAAACACCACTTTGAATATAAATTTAATTAATTATAAATTAGTTTAATAATTTATTTTAATAAATGTAAATAAAATTTTACAACAAATGATTGCAATTTATTAAAAACTACAATTATGACAATAAACGTGTAAAAAATTATGTGGAATAAAAGTGATTACAATTTCAGGCAATTATTTATTTATTAATTAAGCAGTATTTAATTATATTTAAATGTGATCACAATAATTTAATTTTTGAAAATTCACAAAATGGCGGCTAAAGTACAAAAATAAGTTTTAAGAAATTATGATTCAATAATTTATTTGTTATTGTATATAATATATATATAAGGTTTATTTGTCATACTGAAACATTTGATTTTAATTAATTTTTAGTTCGGATTAGGAGTTCGTATAGATTTGCTTTTTTAGCATTCTCAACTGGTTTTATATGAAATTTTTTTTGTGTGAAGTTTATTAAATAAAATTTGTTTTTTTTGTGCGAACTGATATCCGGGCACTGATATATATATAATTAAAAGCAGTAAATACTAAATTACTAAATAAAAATGTTTGATAAGTTTAATAAGCAAAAATTATTGCCACCTGAGCTATAGGTGCCGACAGTAATTTCTATCGTATTGGTCTATCACTCAATAAACCCAACAATACATTAATGCTAGTATTAAACATATAATTTATAAATTGAATGCAGTTTACAATGAGATATACGACTATAATATGAAATGTCTCTCTTATGGCTAACCATTAGTTAAATAATTTTATTAATTATTTATATAACATTTTTTTTGTTAACATTTCGGATGAAAAATTGAAACTAATATTAGGTTTCTATACTATGAATGATATGTTTTTATTATTATTTATAATAAAAATATCCAATGCTATAAACTATGAGTCTATTGTTACATATAATCTATTGAATTCATATATGTCATCAAAATCTATAATACAGTTTATATTAAAAAATAAAGTAAATATTTTTTTTAAAATTTATTATTATTATAAATATATAGCGCGATCTGAAATCCGGTCTTAGATATATATATATATCATATAATACTTTTATAAAATAATTAAATGTAGAAAACAGTCAAATGTTTGAATGTATGGCAACAGTGATGATCTAAACTATACTATTGACCCAATAATTGTCAATTTCTTTCATTTTTTATTTATACAAAAATTTGTTTATTTGAAATCAAAATTGTTTATTAAATAAATATTTATTTAAAAAAATAATTGTATAAAAATAAATAATAATTATATTTAGTTTCAAACTATATATATAGTATTCAGTGCTAATGTAGTGAATGTTGTGACCGATATAAACAACAAACAATTTGATTGGACTATACATACAATAGTATACAATAGTCTTCAATACTTGACTACTGTATATGTAATGCAATACAAGTCATATATTTATATGTCTTTACTATTCATAGCATTTCATACATTAAATTGTTTTTCAAATATTCATTACATTTCATAGGAATCTCTCATTTGACACAACAGTGCAAACAAATTGAAAGCAAACTCAATATAAACTTAAAATCACACAAATAGTAAACTAATGTTTAAAATATATATATATTCAATACTATGAATGCATTATTATATAATTATTATTTATTTAATTCATTACTTTTAAGATAAAATAGATGTCACTATTAGTATAAATTGAATTAAAATGTTATTTTAGTTTTGTTGTTGAAAAACAAGTTTGCGATAAAAAAAAATTTTATTTGACGGCTACTGCTAATATCTAATGCCGTATAGCATATATGCCTAATATATTTAGTAAAAATGCTATTTATTTTGTATGTATATAAATATAATATAAATGTAAATAAATGTTTTTTGAAAATTATAATATATTTAATTAATGTTTTATTTATAATTTTATATTAATATTATTTAACATTAAAGTATTATTTGAGGTTCAGTTCACACTCGACACTACAAAAATTTGTAAGTTTTAAATTAAAATAAATTACAAATAATTATAAAATGAATATAATAATATTTTTAATAATAATAATATATTTTCTTTTAAATTAATTAATATATTTAACTAAATATAATATTACATAAAATATTTTTTATTAAAATTTATAAAATAAAAAATTTAATTATTACAGGGTTGATAAAATACAATATAAAAAATAAATTGATTCAAAAATTAATGATAAAAAATTAAATATTTCAAATAATACAGGGTTGTAAAAATACAATTTTTGATATAATAAAAATCAAAATAAAAATTATTAATAAGTAATTATAATTATAGAATTGTTATAAAAATACATTTAAAACAAATAACATCATATTAATTTTATAGAATTAATTAAATAAAAATAATAAAATCAAATTAATCAAATTAATAAAATTAATCAAATTAAACAAATTAAACAAATTAATTATATCATATTAATTAAATCATATTAATTAATTAAATCAAATTAATTAAATCATATTAATTAAATCAAATCAATTAAATCAAGTCAATTAAATCAAATCAATTAAATCAAATCAATTAAATCAAATCAAATCAATTAAATCAAATCAATTAAATCAAATCAATTAAATCAAATCAATTAAATCAAATCAATAAAATCATATCAATAAAATACTTCAAATTAATTGATTTATTATTTAATTATTTTGATAATTTTTTTAGCTCATTTTTTGATAATTTTTGACATTCATCGCCATATTTTTTAGCCAAAAATCCTAGTACTTTTATTGCATGTTTTATTTTACCCACTTCAAAGCGGTATGAGTAGATTGGAATCAGATTTCCCGTAGTCGGGTGCCGTTTAAGAGAATAAAATACGACCTTACCTCCCTCAGTTAGAGCTTGTCCAAAATAATCTGTTTTAAATATATTTAAATTATTATAGTTAATTAATTACAAGAATCAAAATAATTATATTTAATTTTAATTAATAAATTACCGGAACGACATTTGTGAAGCAATTTATCCTTTTCTCCTTGGAAGCCAGTATTATCGACAATAGCATAGCCTTCATTGTCATCGACTTTAGATTTTTTTGCTGTTTTGGATGTACTACCTTTAGAGGGAGTAGAAGTATTTTTTTGTCGTTTGTTTGTTTGTTTAGGGACTACCAAAGATATAGGTTCATCACCTGAAACACTGGCTCCAGACTCGTCTGTATCGGATACTTCCAAAGCCTCAATATCCAAGAAATCTTTAGCATTTGTAGACATTTTATACCAGTACTTTAGCAAAAACTTTACAGAAAAAGTAAGTAACAGTAAGTAACAAATTAGAGATAAAGTTAATCTCAAAAATTGTTTGAATGATTTTTAGTGAAAGTGTCTGTTGCTTATATATGATTTTACTGTATAATAATTCTATACTAATAGAAATTATGCCAAATAACATATAAATTATTTTTAAAAACAAATATAATAACCATAAATGGAAATAATTATTTAAGTTATTTAATACTAAAAAATATATTTTTAAAGTAATAATATATTAACTTTTATTTACTATATATTATGTTTGATATAACAATATTAATTGTTTATATATATATATATATTTATAATTTTAATGACTGTTTTTTCACAACCTTATAATAAATTACTATTTTTTGTTTATAATTTAGATCTAACAATAATAATTGTTTGACATATTTATAATTTTTATTATTGTTATTTCACAACCTTATAATAATTTACAAAAATTTTTGTTTAAAATAAATTAATTTTGTATTTTTATTATTATTGTTTATATTAATTTTCACATGTTTTTGATAATCTTATTGTATATTAACTAATTGAATTTAAAAATAATTTAATTTATTGCTAATTACATTATATTTTTATACAATTTTTAACATGTATTTAAAATACAAATACTTTTTCATTATTTATGTATTTTTATAGTACTATTTGTTTATTTAAAAATACTTTTTATATAACTGCTACATTGTTAGTTTATATTAATTAATTAATTATTATTCAATTTACAAAATTTTTAACACATATATAATATTTATAATATTAATATATATGTGTTATAAAAATTATTTTTATTTCTAATTTTAAAAATTATTTTTTAATATCTAAAAGATTATTCATTTGTATTTTAATATTAATATGGATAATACACAGTTTTTGCACAATGAGAGAGAGTATATGTGCAAAATTTGCAAACATTATAGCATTTCATTTAATTTAATATTAAAACATTTAAAAATCAATCATGATTTTATAGTTGAACCATTTTATGCTAATAATGGTACTTACCGTCCATATATTACTATTTTTAGACGAACACAACAAAAATAAGTAAGTAAAAAATTTTTAATTTTTTTTAATTAATTAATTAATTACTAATTAGCTAATTAATTACCTGAGGCCTGTAATATAACACAACAGTTATAATTAAAAAAGTCTTGAATAATTAGCTGATAACCCGTTTATAGTATTTTTATAGTACTTTAAATATATATACAACTGATTGATATTTTACAGTATTTTTGATTGATAGCCATCCAAGTCTTTCAAACAATTGTTTGCTATTTGCTGTCATTTCCGAGTTAGTGATAGTCCGGGCAAATCTTTTTTGGATTTTTATTAAAAAATCTAAATGACAGTCATATGTGTGTCCATACAAACTAATAGCATAATCTATTTTTGGTTTCACTATAGACTTATATAAAAAATTTAATGTTGTTTCCTGTAATATACTTTTTAAGCGTAATATTAAACTTAATCGTGATTTTAAATTAGATACTAATTTGTTAATATGATGATTAAAATTCAATTGATTATCAATTGTTAAACCTAAAACACATGTAGAATCCATTTTGTTTATAACATGATTATTGATTTTTACTTCAATAGTATTTTGTGTTTGTTTTCCCATTAAAACAAAATTACATTTTTTATAATTCAGTACTAACTGATTGTTTTTTAACCATTGATTAATTAATTTCATATCAATATTAATGTTATTTTGAAGCGATTCATGATTTTTCCCACTGACCACTAAAGACATCTCATCACAAAATAGATATAACTTTCCTTTTAATGGTAGACTTGTAATATCGTTAATAAATAAATTAAAAAGTAGTGGCGATAAACATGACCCTTGAAATACAGAGATATCAGTTGTCATCGGTTTTGAAAGTTTGCTATTATTGCATACAAAAGAATATCTATTAGTTAAATAGCTTTCAAACCATTTTAGTGTATTTTCTTCACAATAATACTGCAATTTATTAATTAATATTTTGTGATTTATGATATCAAAAGCTGATTTGAGATCAAATGTAATTAAAACAGTTTTATTAATTTATTATTTGTTGATATTTACGTTTATACTAGTTTTATTGATTATTATTTGTTAAAATTTATGTTTATACTTTTTTTTAAAAAATCTTTATATTAATATTTTTGTATTAAATAAATAAATTTAATATTTAAATGTATAATTGTAATAATTATAATTAAATATTGACCAGTTAGGTTACGCACTAACCAATACTTTTATACCAAGCGATTGGAACCGGGAGTGTAGTACTAATGGGAAGTCATAATTATATGACATTAATTAAAATTGCTAAAACTATTGACTAGAGTCTATATAATACACTAACTATATTATAAATAAAGTATATAAATAAAAATTAAAAAGTTAAGTTAAATTTTTCACATTTTATATATATTTAAACATTTCTAAGTTGTATAAATTTATTGATTAATTTTTAAAAAAAATTACTTGTACTTTTTTAAATTTTTATATTAATGTTTTTTCAAATAAATAAATTTAATAATTCAATGTATAGTTGTATTAACTTTAATTAAATATTTGCACTATTAATAAAATATGTTTTTTTCAAAATATGATAATTAATTAATAATACTATAGAAATTACTATTTAATATACACACTTAAATATTTTAAAAAAAAACATTAATTAACAATAATAAAAATATTATAAAACTAAAATATGTATTATATAAATTATATTTTTATATTTATTGTAATATTATTATCAATATTACTTGAACAACATTTTACAGAAACAGTGGTAGAATGGACTGACCATCCGATCGATACATTGAAATTATTGCAAATAGTTCACCGACACGGCGACCGAAATCCGACATTAGATTTACCAAATGATCCGTTTATTGATCTTAAAAAATATTGGCCGGAGGGGGAAATGGAGATGACTAATAATGGAAAGTATCGTATGTATCGGATCGGACAGTTTATTCGTCAATCGTACGCTGCATACCTGGGCTCTCAATACAATCACCGTGAAGTATATGCTCGTAGTTCAGGTGCAAACCGTTGTTTGGAATCGATTCAGATGTTGTTGGCCGGTGTCTATCCACTCATAACAACTGCCAATTGGCAATCAAATCTTACTAACAGTGCTCAGTTAGGTAGTGATTTGCAACCGTTTACAGTATATAGTTATCCGGATAAATTTAAAAATAATGATAAACTGCTGCGAATCAATGCTTACTGTCCCAAAGCTATGGAAGCTATCGAAAAGTATTTTAATAGTGAAATCGCTAGAAATATATCTTATAAGGAAACGGCATTTTTAGAAAAGTTAGGAAAAATTGTTGGCCGCAAACTGATTAATCTAGAAGTTATTGAAAATTTATTTGATGTACTGACCATTGAATACTCGAAAAAATATTACTGGTCTAACCATAGCATATGGCCGTCCAGTGATGATAAGTCTATTATTGATAGACTGGAAGTTATTGTCAACAAGTATTTTAAGACCCGATACAGTGATCCGGTGTTAAAAAAGACAAACGCAGGTCCACTGATCAAAGAGTTGGTTACCAATATCAAGGAGCGTATCAATGGGACAACAATTGACAAACCGTATGACTATAAACTGTATTTGTATTCAACACACGACGTAAAATTATGTCCGCTTATGATAACACTGGACATATGGAATGGCATAATAATACCATTTGGGTCATCACTTATAGTCGAATTGCACCAACAGTTGGGTGCTATCAATGGAAAGGGATATTTTGTTAGATTATATTACTATAATGAAACACTGGACGACACTAAAAGGCCTTATTTGTTGAAACTACCCAACTGTATATCAGTCGACTGTCCCATTGAGCAGTTTTACACACTAACCAATACTTTTATACCAAGCGATTGGAACCGGGAGTGCGGTATTAATGTCAAGTCATAATTGTAGCCTATGATGACTACACAACAAAACTTAATTTGTTTATTGTTAGGGTATCTATAAGTAAAACTTTATGAATAAATATTTTAATAAAATATATTTTTTTTAAAAATTTATTTCTACTTTTTTAAATATTTATATTAATGTTTTTTTTTAAATAAATTTAATAATATATAGTTGTAATAACTTTAATTAAATATTTGTACTAAAATATGTTTTTTCAAAATATGATAATTAATTAAAAATGCTATATAAATTACTTTTTAAAATATTATATTAAAAAAAAATATTATTAAACTAAATTTTAGTTACTAAAATATGTATAAAAATTACTGTTTTATATTTATTGTAATATTATTATCAATATTACTTGAACAACATTTTACAGAAACAGTGGTAGAATGGACTGACCATCCGATCAATACATTGAAATTATTGCAAATAGTTCACCGACACGGCGACCGAAATCCGGCATTAGATTTACCAAATGATCCGTTTATTGATCTTAAAAAATATTGGCCGGAGGGGGAAATGGAGATGACTAATAATGGAAAGTATCGTATGTATCGGATCGGACAGTTTATTCGTCAATCGTACGCTGCATACCTGGGCTCTCAATACAATAACCGTGAAGTATATGCTCGTAGTTCAGGTGCAAACCGTTGTTTGGAATCGATTCAGATGTTGTTGGCCGGTGTCTATCCACTCATAACAACTGCCAATTGGCAATCAAATCTTACTAACGGTGCTCAGTTAGCTAATGACTTGCAACAATTTACAGTTTATAGTTATCCGGCTAAACTCATAGATAATGATAAACTGCTGCGAACCAATGCCTACTGTCCCAAAGCTAAGGAAGCTACTGAAAAGTATTTTAATAGTGAAATCGCTAGAAGTATAACAAATAAGGAAACGGCGTTTTTGGAAAAACTAGGAAAAATTGTTGGCCGACCACTTAGTAATCTTCACGTGATCAATGATTTATGGGATACACTGGCCATTGAATACTCTAGAAAATATTACTGGTCTAACCATAGCATATGGCCGCCCAGTGATGATAAGTCTAATATTGATAGACTGAAAGTTATGGTCAACAAGTTTTGGAAGACCCAATACAGTGATCCGGTGTTAAAAAAGACAAACGCAGGTCCACTGATCAAAGAGTTGGTTACCAATATCAAGGATCGTATCAATGGGACAATCATTGACAAACCGTATGACTATAAACTGTATTTGTATTCAACGCACGACATAAAATTATGTCCGCTTATGATAACACTGGACATATGGAATGGCATATTAGTACCACTTGGGTCATCACTTATAGTCGAATTGCACCAACAGTTGGGTGCTATCAATGGAAAGGGATATTTTGTTAGATTATATTACTATAATGAAACACTGGACGACACTAAAAGGCCTTATTTGTTGAAACTACCCAACTGTACATCAATCGACTGTCCCATTGAGCAGTTTTACACACTAACCAATACTTTTATACCAAGCGATTGGAACCGGGAGTGCGGTATTAATGGGAAGTCATAATTGTAACCTATGCTGACTACACAACAAAACTTAATTTCTTTATTGTTAGTGTAAAACTTAAAGTGTAAAACTATAAGTAAAACTTTATCAATAAATATTTTAATAAAATATAACTTTTTGTATTTAAATCTACTGTATTGTTATTATAACTTTAATTAAATATTTGTAATGAAATATGTTTTTATTCAACAATTTTAATTACTTAATTAAAATTGCTAAAAATATTACTATATATTACAGATACATAAACAATATTAACAAAAAACATTAATGAAATATTGTATTTTATTAAAATATTTTTTTTTTTTAAATATAAATATTAAAAATGCTTTTGATTAAATCTAAATTTTTCTTTAATAAAAAATAAAGTGTACAAGTTAAAAACTACAAATAAAATTAGCAGTACTTTTTTTTATTATTGATTGTAAAATTTTTTACAATGTACTTTATATAACTTAAATTAAAAAATATTATTAACTAACTTAACTTAATTAACTATACCATACATATTAATATAACATTAATTTTATATACAGTAATTATAAGTATAATAAATAAGTATAAGTACAAATAATTATAAGGGACTGTTCACATAATACGTTCGCACTTTTTAAGAAATCTAGACCCCTCCCTCCCCTATGTTTGCAAATGTTCGCATGTAGTCATTATAAAAAATTACGTTCAGATATCCATAACCGCTACCCCCATCACTAAAAATAATATATTATCTAAATGCGAACGTTCTTAAGATCACTACCCCTTCCCCACCCTCCCTTCATGTGCAAAAGTAATATGTGAACCACCCCTAAGTACTATAATTTTATATTGGTATTTAATTTTTTTTCTTTCACAAGTTTATAGCTGATTAAGATAATTATAAAAATTTAATAATGTACCCAAGTATAAATCTAGATATTAGCTAGTTAATTATTTCATATTGATTTTATAACTTAATTTTTATTATTTCTTAAATTGTTTATTTTAATATATAATAATTAATAAACTTTCTACTCAATAAAATTTTATTACAATTAATATAAAATATTTATTTTGCAATATATTTAATTTTAAAACAATGCTATTAATAAAATATTTGTCGTTTTAAACTCTATTTTTATTATTTAATTATAACTGCTATAAAAATAATTACTATAATAACAATTATTGCTTATATTAGACATAACATCATTTAACAGTTATTAAATGATTTTAGTTTATTTATTATTATTATAATACTGTATAAAAATCATTAATATGTATACAAAATACATAGCGATAATACTATTTGTATTACTAAAACATCAACATTTTACAGAAACAGTATGGACTGACCATCCAATTGAAACGTTAAAACTGTTGCAAATAGTTCACCGACACGGCGACCGAAATGCCGAAAATTGGTTTCCAAATGACCCGTTCCTTAACCTAACAGAGTTCTGGTACGAAGGAGACGGTGCGCTGACCACTAATGGCAAATATCGTATGTATAAAACGGGACTATTTTTGCGCCAACAATACGCTGACTACCTGGGCTCGCAGTACAGTCCCCGTGAAGTATATGTCCGCAGTTCGGCTGTAAATCGTTGTCTGGAATCTGTAGCACTTGTATTGGCCGGTGCTTATCCACCAACAACTAGCAACTGGACATGGAATTTATCTGACGGTGCTCAGTTAGGCAAAGATTGGCAACCGTTTCCCATATATACCTATCCGACTGAAATCAAAGATGATGATCAACTGTTGCGAATGGAGGCCAACTGTCCCAAAGCTGATGAAATTACTAATAGCTACTTGAATGGAGAAATCGCTAGAAGCATAACAAATAAGGAAACGGCGTTTTTGGAAAAACTAGGAGAAACTGTTGGCCGACCACTTAGTAATCTCCAAGTGATCAATGATTTATGGGATACACTGGCCATTGAATATAATAAAAAATATTACTGGTCTAACCATAGTATGTGGCCGCCCAGTGATGATAAAGAAAATGTTGATAGACTGGCAGTTATGGTCACACAATTTTGGAACACCCGATACAGTGATCCGGTAGTAAAAAAGACAAGAGCCGGTCCACTGGTCAATGAATTGGTCACCAACATTAAGGAGCGTATCAATGGTACAACCAGTAAACCGTATGACTATAAACTATATTTATATTCAACACACGACTCAAAGTTAGGATCGTTGATGACAGCACTGGACATATGGAATGGCCTATTAATGCCATACGGGTCGACACTTATAATTGAATTACACCAACAGTCCGATGATCAGTCATATTTTGTCAAATTATATTATTATAATGAAACACTGGACGAAACCAAAAGTCCCTATTTGTTAAAACTACCCAACTGTACATCTACTAACTGTCCAATTAATCAGTTTTACTCATTGACCGATAATGTTATATCCAGAGACTGGAACCAGGAGTGCAGTATTAGTGGTGACTATTCAATCAAACTAAATATCTATTGTTTAATCATATGTTTTGTTTTTATTATGACTATAACTTTGCGAAAATATTAAATAAAATCTATATTATTATTATTATTATTACATAAATGTATTAGTATTTAAATAAAATGTTATAGTTATATATTGTATAATTATTACTACTTATAAAAAAATGATTTTTTATTATTTTTATTTTAGTATAGTTTTGTAGTTATTTTCAGTTTTATTTTTATTATCTATTTTAATATATTCAATATTTCAAAATCTTTTAAAATTTTATTTATTATTTTAGTTAGTCTACCCTATTTTAGCTGTACTTATTTGAGATGTCATAAAATAAAAATAAAACAATATTATACATATAAAAATAACTTTTTAACAATAATAAAATAATAAAATATACAGTAATTAACTATAATTTTATCTTTAATTCTAGTTTTATCAATAATATACTAAGCTATTAAAATAATTATCTCAATTAAACAATATAACGCAATATTAACAAAATTACAACACTATATGAAGTAATTATTTATTTATTTTAATAAAAAAATATCAAGTATTTATTTAACTAATTAATTAATTATATTTTTTTAATCAGTTCTAGTATATCACATGTCTCAATGTTTACTTAAAAGATTATTAAAAAGACATTGAAATACAACAAAAACAAAATAATACAAAAAAAATTGACACACATTTTGACAGTATATTAAAATATATTTAAATTTATGTGAGTATATAAATTATTTTTTAAAAATATATATTATCAATATATTTATTTTACATTGTTTTTAATTTAAGTTTTAATTTTATTTAGATTACAATGATTAATTTGTGATTTGTTTGTGTATGTAAAAAATCAGTGATTATAGTGACTGTTATAGAAAAATCAAAACACAATTCAAGTACTTTAATTGCAACTATTTTTTCAATTTTTTTTTTTGTAATAATTTACAACAAAAAAATAGAAATGTCTACAAAATATTTATATTATTCAGTATTATTATTATTAGAAATATTATTAATAATTGTAACAAATTATAAAGTACTGACAGTCCAGGTATGGACTGACCATCCAATCGACACATTAAAACTGTTGCAAATAGTTCACCGACACGGCGACCGAAATGCCGAAATATGGTTTCCGAACGACCCGTTTATCAATCAGTCAATGTATTGGTACGAAGGAGTGGGTGAGCTGACCAATGATGGCAAACATCGTATGTATAAAATGGGACAATTTATACGCCAAGAGTATACCGGATTTTTGGGTTCAGACAACAGTCCCCGAGAGGTGTACGCTAGGAGTTCGGCCAAAAAACGATGTCTAGAGTCGGCAACAATGCTAATGGCCGGAGCATATCCACCAATTGCTGAACAGTGGCAATGGAATATAAGTACTGATGCCCAGTTAGGTAGCAATTGGCAACCGGTTCCCATTTATACTTATCCGTTTGAAATGAAAAACAACGATTCAATGCTACGTATGGATTCCTACTGTCCGACTGCTAGCCAGGCTATTGACGACTATTTCAATGGCGAAACGGTCGATAAAATTGTCGAAAAGCACAGGGAGTTTTTAGACCGGTTGGGCAAACTAGTTGGTCGCGAGATCAAGGGTTTATACGAGGCAGCACAGTTATGGGATACTCTATATATTGAATACACAAAAGGTTATTACTGGTCCAACCATAGCGTTTGGCCGCCCAGTGATGACCTGGCTATTATTGAACGATTGGAGTCAATGGTCCAACAATATTGGAATACCGTTTATACGGCTCCGGTAGTCAAAAAGACTAGAGCCGGGCCACTGGTCAATGAGTTGGTCAACAATATACGAAAACATGTCAACGGGTCAGTCGATCGTGAGTTTAATTATAAACTATATTTATACTCTACTCACGACACAAAGGTATGTGTGCTTATGCACGCACTGGACGTCTGGAACAATCTGATAGCACCGTATGGATCATCCGTATTAGTTGAGTTGCACCAGCAGTCAGGTGCTGCCCATGGACAGGGCTATTTTGTCAAATTGTATTACTACAATGAAACACTGGACAACAGTAAAAGTCCGTATTTGTTGAAACTACCCAATTGTACATCAGTCGACTGTCCTGTTGACCAGTTTTATGCACTAACCGATAGACTTATACCCAGCGATTGGAACCGGGAGTGCGGTATTAGCCGTGTCATTGAAAATAAATTAAATATACTACTACTATATATTGTAATAATTATTATTATTATTATAACTGCAACAATAATAAATATCTGATAAAAATTTAGCTATAATTTTAATCAAAAATTTTGACTACTTTATTGAAAAATTAATACCATGTGTTATTTTACTGTACAAATAACTTATTATAAATTTTAACATTAATGTGGAAATTAATTTTTAATATAATATTAAATGCAATATAATACTATTTTCAAAAAACTCTTACTGTATGTATATATAAAATACATTAATAAAGCAAGTAATTATTTTGTTACAGTTTTTAATAGTAAATTTTATGTCACATTTTTAGTAAAAATAATAATATACTAATTCATAATTAGTAGCAAAATTGAAATATTAATAATAAAATTGTTAGTAATTGTGACCCTAGATGGCCCACAGATCACACACACACACTCACAACAGATTTCAACCAACCCTTCACTCTCATTGGACAACCCTTCAGGCCGTCCACTACTTAAGTGGACGTCAGTTCACTTTTTCTCTCTCTCTGATCAATCACTCTTCAATCACCACTTCTCTCCTCTCTTGCATTCACTCTCTGTTTTCTTGACATTCAAGCCTTCACTTGAATCAATCACTTGACAAAACCTGAAACAAATCAAATCAACCATTTTTTTTAATCAATTTTTAATTTTTTTATTTTTAAACAATAAATTGTTTTACCGATCAATTGGTTGTGTCCACTCATTCAATCTCATCCACGGTCACAACTTGGCGCAGTCTTCAAGAATCGAACCACTTCACGACTGAAAAATTCAGACATCAATTCAACTCAAGTGAACTCAAGAAAACACGTGAACCTCAACAACAATGGCTCCAAGCAAAAACAGCAGAAAAAATCGCAGAAACCAACTCAACGACACAATGAACACCAACGATGCAGACATGGCGTCGCCAACAGCATTAACTTCCGCCTCCGGTTCACATGGACTTCAAACACGTGGACAACAACAGAGAAGAAATGCTAGCGCCAACGCCATACAACACATGGTCTTCAACAACGACGATGAAGAGGACAATCAATCGAATCACAGCAGATCCAGAAACACTGGCCGACTCTGCGACACATTCTCAGGCAGCGATCCATTGGTCAAAGCCGATGATTGGTTGGCTCTCTTCACGTTAGTCACACGTGGTTTCTCAGATGACGACCGCATCACAGCACTTGGACGCCATGTCACAGGAGAGGCGATGAGATTTCTGGTGCGTGAAATTGCACCACAAGCCGACTCAATAACATGGGCTGAAGTCAAAAAGAAGATGATGAACCGGTTCGCCCGTGTCATCCGTCATCCATTGACTGAGGCCATGGAACGTGAGTTGAGATCAAACGAGACCATCGAGTCATACTTCAATGACAAGAAGCGACTCTTGGATTTGGCCGAACAATCAGACTCCAATCAAGTGGCAATGCTGAATCACGGGATCACATCAACAATGACTCGAACACAAATCGCGTCTCAACGACCAAAGACTCCCGAAGACTGGTTAGCAATCGCCACATCAATCGAAGAAAATTTGAAAGTGAGAAAAGATCGCTCTCAAAACCCCAAAACATCTATCGCACCGATCAACCATTTGGACACGGACAAAGACAACGACAACAAAAAGTCTCCGACAAAGGATCCGAAAGATCCAAAGAAGTTCGACAACAAACCACCGCCTGGCCCTTGCCCAGTTTGCAAATTGTTTGGCAAGAAAGAGATGCACTGGAAATCCGTGTGTCCAAAATGGGCCGAAATCTCAGGCACCGGTAGTGCGCCGACAACTGATGCTCCGCCAATGGCTGGCATCAATTGCCTTAAACCGATCAAAAAGGTTGATGTGCCGAAACCCTCAACAAAAGACGTCGCTTCTTCCGCGAGCGTCCATTGCCTTCAACCAATCGAAAGAGTTGAAGCGCCGATTCATTCACCAATGAATTCAATCACTCAATCAACAGATGCACCAAAAACAGTTGGCCTTCATCACATCAAGTATGAAGAGGATCCGCTGGATCTTATTTGGTTCACCACACATGTCAATGGCAGACAAGCGAAGGCATTCCTTGACTCTGGCTCCACAATCAGCGCCATTTCCAAATCGGCCGCTGATAGGATGGGCTTGCAGTGGGACACCCAGCGTTCAATTGCCATCAGACATGTGGACGGCACCGGCCGTACCCTCGGACTTGTTGAAGCAATCATTGAATTGCAAAACAAGTCATTTCACTTCGCTATTCAAGTGTTGGAAAATCTGGAGCACGATATGCTAATTGGCCTCGACTTAGCCAAAGCCGATGCTCTGGTTGTCAACTTCGGCTCAATGGTTCAACACAAAACGTTTTTTCTTCACCAACTCAAGACACCAACACCAGCACCTAGAACGTCCCGACAATCAATCAAAATGATGGTCGACACAAAGGAAGTTCTCTCTCAATCAATTGTTGGAACTGTCAAAGAGATTGAACAAGAGATTCAGATCAACAAAAGTTTCATTCAGCCGACTCACCAACAGATCTCACAAATCATCGACAACTCATCCAAAACATCCATCAGCGACAGCACTGGCTTCACATCGAAATTTTTGCACTTCGAGTTTTCATCAGCCCTTCCAACTGATGACACACTCGAAGAGGCCAGGAATCAGCCGACATTGAAGTCCAGAGCTCTGCAAATCAAAAGACATGAGAAAATTGAAAAACAAATGAACAAACAAACCTTTGAAATTTCAGATCAACAAAGAGTTGGCACAGAACTGTCACCACATTCATCGACATCTTGCGTTGTCCTGGAAAAACTCGATGAAGGTATGCGATTGGATCACATCAATATCATCGCTGGTGTTGTTGCGCGTTCATTCACAACACATTCATCAAGAGTGGCTCCATACATCTCCCGCGATGACAACATTTTGATCAACAATCATCCGATTACCTCATCTGACATCAACACTTTCACCACTTTTTCAACAACATTGACATCTCATGCAGACTCATCAACAACAAAGCCAACAGATGTTCATTCAAATCAAAAACACGGAAAATGTGATTCATTTTCAAAAAGGATGATCACATGTCAAACAAGCGCCTCATTTGAAAAGGTTTTGAATCAATCAAAGAACCCCATTAGACGCTACACGCTAGCGGTCGGCGGATGTGACCCTAGATGGCCCACAGATCACACACACACACTCACAACAGATTTCAACCAACCCTTCACTCTCATTGGACAACCCTTCAGGCCGTCCACTACTTAAGTGGACGTCAGTTCACTTTTTCTCTCTCTCTGATCAATCACTCTTCAATCACCACTTCTCTCCTCTCTTGCATTCACTCTCTGTTTTCTTGACATTCAAGCCTTCACTTGAATCAATCACTTGACAAAACCTGAAACAAATCAAATCAACCATTTTTTTTAATCAATTTTTAATTTTTTTATTTTTAAACAATAAATTGTTTTACCGATCAATTGGTTGTGTCCACTCATTCAATCTCATCCACGGTCACATAATAAATAAATTTAATTAATAAAATAATATCATACAACTAATTTAGAACAATACATTTAGCATTGAACAAATATTCGAAATAATAATTTAAATGTTAAAAATTAAATTAAATAGTAAATTACAACTCTTTAATAACGTATTTTGAAATATCAAATAATTACAAAAATAAATAAATAAATATAAATATACAACTAAATTTTAAAAAATTATAATTATTGAATAATTAATATTGTATATGATACTACTACTAATAATAAATTATATTTTACTATTTATTTACATGTATAATTATTATTATTAGTTAGTTAGTGGATTAGTATTTAAATTATCAAAATAATTATTATCTGATTTAAGTTCAGTATAACTACTATTAGGATCGTAATCCAGTGGCAAATAATAATCCGATACCATATCATCCACTTCTGAATTGTCATAATATATTGAATTGCCATACCTTTCATCAGTCGACTGTATTTCCCGTAAGCGTCGATATCTGCACCATATGTATACCATAATCGGGATCAGTATACAAATTATAATAGCCATTACCGATACAACTATCATTGCGGCCATAAAACTACTAATACTGTTAGACTTAATGTTGTCGTTATTGTCATCAATAATATTCATATATTTTCTCTGAGCAGTCATTATAGCTTTGCATATATGAGAAGCGCTTGAATTAGTTTGTGTATTAGTATTATTATTATAAGGTGATGGCTGATTGTCACTAATATTTTGATAAACTCTAATATAATCGATGATTAGTGCCGAACATTTCCATTGAATCCAATCCCTATCTCCAAGAGTCCAATGTTTCCCAAATATATCGCCACCAACACCGATATGTATGTCCAATTTGAATGGTCTATCAAATGGTTGTCCACTTTTGTTGTATGAATCCGATAATCGTTTGGTCAAATCAACTGAATGATACTGTTGACCATCGATAAGCCATCATATATTCGGGTGTCCAGTCAAATGTGTACAAATGAAACTCTTTAACAAATGTTTCGTTAATAAGATTGAAGTGATAGCCCACATAGTCGGGTGGTTTATAGTGCACACCAACCGATACTGATGGCAACTCGTTATGGGCCAATACATTGATGGCACCGCTTGTTGGCCAGGGATCGATATACTTTTCCGGATACATATAGATAACTGAACGCAACAGTTTTCCCATTTGCATTGAAGCCCTGATCTCGAATCGGCCGTATGTCCAACTTTGACGGCTAACTATACGTCCTGTCGTATATTGTTTACCGAGACGTGTCTCCCGTTCCCGTGTGACCACAATGGCAAGACTACCGTTTTTCAGTTGTAGATTTCTGGGTCGATTGCTATTGCAATTGATTTCATGCACATCATTGCCTGTAATTAATACAATATTAACATTTATTTGAATACTATATATAATAATTATTACTAAAAAAAGTAAATGAATTAAATTTATTTCTGACAGTGACTTTTATATACCTTCACACGGACCGGTAGTCCACTCGTCCAGTACATCCCATTTATTATTATTCAACTTATCTGTATTAAACTCATCTTTCCATACCAGTGCCAACTTATTGGTACTACCAAACTCAATACATACACATAAATAATATATGATTTTATATTTTATAATCAAATAATATAAATTCATTTGTCTGACATAATTTTTAATATACAAAACTAATAGTTATTATTATAGTATATTTTTAATTAACAAAATATAAAATATTTACTTTATAATTAACTAGTTACATTTATTAATTATTAAAATATTAGAAATGTTAAATAATACTAAATGTTGACAAAAATATCATTGTAATAATAATAATAATAAATACAGTATAATGTTTGACAAATATGTACTTAACATTTAGCTTTTATATAAAGGATATACTGTACTATAATTTATCCTTAATTGGATACTTCGTTGAATAAAAAATTTAATTAATCACAGTTTAATTATTTATTATTGTAATATTATATAATATGATAGATTGTCCCATTTATTCAGTTTGCAAATAAACAAAAATTTCTCATAAATTTTATGCACCGTTAGGTTCTGATCCTGGTCAATTTAATTGTCAACTAACCCATGTTAAAACTAGTCAATTTACATATAGGGGCTTCAAAATATATTATATACTGTACTGTTATTTATTATTATTATTATTATTATTATTACTAATATTAGTGATTAATAAAAATAATTAAAATAATGACACAATTAATATGAAAATTTAAAAAAATAATTTTATTAAACAATTAGCAAATAAAATACTTATTTATAATCCATAACCAATTTAACTACTAATAATTAAATTTAATTAAAAGCTTAATAACACACACACACAACTAGTACATTACAACTTAAATAAA